GGGGAGGGCCCTGAGAATTTTCCAATCTTGCCCGGGGGGGGCCGGCCCCCGCGTGTGGGTTTATTAAGGAGGGGGGGGGGGGGGGGGGGGGGGTACTCATAGTCGTGCATGCCGTAGTCGTTAGACCATTGACCTCGCATCCCTACAAAGCCGGGACGGAGCACGCCGGGTTCTCACCGGACCAGGCTCAGGACAGGGAGGGGGTCTAAAAGCTGCATTGTCACTTCTTGCATGTTTTTCTACGAGTGCTCTGTCGACCACGACACGGTCCTTTCGAAATGCCGCACTGCTCTTCACCGCTTTCTTGGCAACCTCTTCGATATTCAATGCAGGGGGTTGTTTGTTGTACGTAGGACGTTTGTAGAACGGTTTCACGAACAATTTGCTCCGAAGAAAAACCGCAGCAACAACTAAGAACATCACTACCAAATGGATGGCAGGCAAGGGCAAGGCGGCGACGTCTAGGGGGAGGGGATCGGGGACACGTATGTACGACGATGAGGAGGAGGAAGAAGAAGATTCGGACGATGGGCGGGACGTACGGAAGCGCCCGGCAGCGTCGCAGGTACAGGTGGAGTACGGAGAGGGTGTACTCATAGCCGTGCATATGCCGTAGTCGTTAGACCATTGGCCTCGCATCCCTACGAAACCGGGACGGAGCACGCCGGGTTCTCACCGGACCAGGCTCTCACATCACCAAGCGCGAAGCGTTCGTGAGGTATTCGGCGAGTCGCATGGAGGGTACTCTTCTTCCTGCTACATACGGGTGTTCGGCATCTTGTGCTTACTTCCGGAGGAAGGGGGAGGAGCGTACTCATGTTTTGCATGCCCTACTGCTGTAGCTGTAAACCACGCGTTCCTCGACAGGACGGAGTACTGCTCCCGCTGGACCGATCACCGATGGCGAATCGTTCCTTGCTACTTTGCCAGCGTGGGGGGGGGGCAATTTTTTGCGTTTCACGGGGCGGGGGAGAGGGGACTCATTTCTTCGCGTTCCACGGGGCTACCACGGATCCTATCGGTCACGTTTGTCCACCATTCTCAAACGTCCTTCCTTCAAAATAGTTCATTCTTACGCAACAAAACCACGCTGGTAAGTATCATACAGGTGGCGTGGTCGATAACATCAAATTTGAAGTGTTGCTTGCCTGATTGTTCTCCAAACCGCCGTGGTATCGCTCATGTTTTTAGTCAACGTACCGGCGATCGAGAGTCGTTTTTTCTTGTCCTACCTCTGGTCTCCACTCCACCCCTCTCTCACCCCCGCAACTTTCCCTGTTCTCCCGTCCCTTTTTGTTTTGTTCTCCTCTCCCTTGTTTGTTGTCTCCCTCTGCCCAGGGGTCAACGCCTGGCCGAGGCGGCAAGCGCTTGCACCGCAGCATCACCGAGGATAGCAGCGAGTCGGAATAGTATTAACAAAAATCGGAACGGTTTTCAATGCGAAGACAACAACAACATAAGCACATGGGGTTCCGCTTTTGCGTTGTTGACGTTTTCGCAAAAGTGTCGTTGCGTGCCAGTGGTTTGTTTCTCCTCTCGGAGACGGTGGGATGGCTGCCGCTATACTCTCTGATGTGGTACCACAGGAGATGGGGTGATCGGCTTTTGATGGTGGGGAGGAGGTGATTCCCGGTTGAACACCGCACGATTCATGACGACAAGCTGTGTACGCGTGTTGCGTGTTGCTGGTGGGGGCGACAGAAGCAGTAGCAGTGTGTGGGAGAGACGAGCAGGAACATGTTGAGTCTCCACGTGCGGCGTCTTGGCTGCTGCATCTGCCGATGCGTCTTCCCATCTTCTGCCTAAAGCAGAAAATCGTGCTTTCCTCTCCTCTCTCAAGATACATTGGTCTTCTGCCCTCTCTTGAGGGTGTGTGGTTTCGACTCTGGTTCGGACGAGAGGCTGGGACTCCTCCTAGGATGCCGGGGGCGCAGCGGCGTGGTGACAAGTAGGGGGGCCGGCACTATGATGACCGCGTGGTCGTTGATCGGTCCCGCAATCACACAGCTGTGTGCGGCGGGGTTTTATCGTCTTTCCCGATGGCGTTACGTTTTCGTGTTTGTTGTTAAACCGGGGAACCGTGGTGGTAAGTTTTTTGTCTTACGATCTGATCTTGGTCATGTATTGTGGAGGAAATGTTATCTGTTTCTGACCCCCTGCCGTAGCTCCTGTGGAGAACACAACACCGGCGTGAAAAGGGTAAGAGATTTCTGTGGCACCCTATCGTGTTAGCTCAGTGGACCACGCCATATCGCTGTGCTGCAGGTACACACGTGGTGGATCTTCATGCGACTACACAGGCCCGATGATCTTCGAGGAAGGCTATGCATATGGTAATCAGACTTGCAATGCCAACGGAAACACGAGCTTGCTCTGGGCAAACGATGATCAACAAACGTGTCCGTCCATGTTTAGTGTCGGAAAATCCACAAGAAGCAGCCCCTCGGTGGTGCTCGTGTTTCCGTCGGCGTGACCTTTCTCAGGTGTTTAACTGACGTGCTGTTGCGTCGATTCCATGTTTGTGTTTGGGCTATGGTTGAGACATGGGACATGAGAAGGGAAGGAGTACCACACACAAAACCAACACGCTTCTTCGTGTGAAAGTCATCCGTCCCGATCAGAATCGACGTTGTTGGCGATGCATGCGTTGCATAGACGAGAGGGCACCCTCTCGCTCATGACCTACCTCCTCTTCCCTTCTTTACTATTCTTCTCGTGGTCAAAAGCTATACATGTATGTAGCGAGCGCACGTCTACCGATGATACAGGCCGAAACGAAAGGGTAAAAAAAAAAGGGCACCTCCGCGGGGAGAGCTTGTGGCTGTTGGGTTTGTTGCTCCAATGCATAACATGAACGTGGCCCCTAGCCAATCTCATTTTTTTCGTACGAAAACACAACGAACTCATCTCGATTCCAAGGGTAAAAAACAGTTCGAGATCATTTAGCCATGAATTCGTAGAATTAGCCAGTCTACAAGTTTGCTTCCTTCAGGCCCTTCCTTTCTGTTGCGATCGGGGAAAGCTCACAAGGCTGCCTTGCCCGATCCCCCAGGGTCGTACCTAACGCAAATCATTAATCTCCCACGTCCACGTCGTGCATTGATCTCAGAACTCAACACACGCTTCAAAACAACTCTCCTATCCCCCCACGGCGCTGTTTCGAAAGGCAAGGACTATAGAACGGCTTTTCGCCAACATCTCCTACACACAAGCTTTACATTACTTACGTACACAAAGACGCCTTACACAAGAACACGAGGTGCCGGATGATCAACACTGTAGACTGCGCACAAAACACTTAAGTCTATTAGGCGCGTTTCTCAGCTCGCCACTCCGACGACCATACAGAGACTGCCCGGCTAACGTTCTCCAAGATTTGGTAGCCCAGCAGCAAGAGGCACCCCAAGGAGAAACCCAGCAGCCCCCCTGCGCACATCGGTAGCGGCCACGCCTGCAAGAAAGCAGAAATGTTGTTGTTGTAACTTTTTTTAACTGTTGTTGTTACCGCAATGACCTTGTTGTTGTCGTTGTTGTCGTCGTAGTCTTCGTCACCGTAATGCTGGAATGCTGCTGTCGCTGCTGCTGCTACCGTTGGGATATTAATCATCGTCGTTGTTCTTGTGGTCTTTCGCCGCCTTTCATGTTCAATTCAAACATACCAAGAACGGCCACCCCGAACTCCCTCACGCAGCACGTCCTGTTTCGCTCGGAACCCCCTCACCTCACGCGGAGAAAAACACGCCACGCAAACATCACAAATAAACGCAGAGCGTACCTGAATCACAAAGGGTAGCCAACCTACCCCACGCGTAAACGAAGCAATTGGGTGCAGTCGGCAAAACCTAATGGCGGCTGTTGTTACCTGCCATGGCTGCTCCCAATCCAAGCACAGCGGTATGGCCCCTAACCAAGCTCCAAGCACGCAGCATGCCGCTGGAACCATCGCACCCAGCTCGTGCAAGGCAGGCCTAAAAAAAGGGGAGGGGGGGGGGGGTACTCGTGTAGGCGCATGCCATCGTCGTTGGAGCATTGACCTCGATTTCCCTACGATGCCGGGACGGAGCGATATGCCGGGTTTTGGCAGTCCTTCACTATTTCGGCCCCCTTCCATAGGTTGGTTGTTCTTTGAATAAACGTATACATATATATGTATTTGCTAAAAATAGGTTTAGCGTCTTGCGAGATTTAGGCGCGGCGGTGTGCAAGAGGGAGAGGTGCCCTCTAAATCGTACGTACCTAGTGCCGCGGAGAAAGGCGGCGAAGGCCTCCAAGGGTCGGTGGCTCGTAACCGACACCGGGAGCGACGTGAAAGACGACATGAGAAGCGAGAACGCGGCCGTCTCGGGAGCGCGCCTGAAACGGACGCGTTGAAGCACGAACGAAAAAAAACTAAAAAATTACAACTGACACGTAGGAAAAGTGAATTGGACATGAATAGGGGAGAGAAACAAACACTTGACGCGCGTCGCGGTTGTTGGGGGGCCGGGATAAAAGCCACAGGAAACAACCAAATGGATGCTAGAAATGATTTGTTGGCAACGTACACAGGGGTAACAGGAGCCTGCATGCAAAGCTACTGTACAGGGTCGGTCGGAGTGTCTATGAGGCTCCCTGGAGAACAGGGAAGGAGAAAATGGTGCAGTGGAAGCGGTTGAGAAGGAGGAAAGGACCGCCTTCGCGGGAAACTAAGGACCGCCTTCGCGAGAAAGTAAGTTAACGAGGAAATAGAACAGTGAGGAGGGGGTACGCAGACCGTATTCCCTAACCCTAACCCTGACCGAACTTCCCCGATTGTATGCTTTATCCAACACGTTTGCTGAATACAATACACCCACAAAGAAGGCTGCTGAGGAGAGGCGACGACAGGCGGAAGGAAGTGGACGGCAGGGACAATTGCGCTGCCAGCAAGGTGATAGATAAGCAAGGATCACAAAAACTCACGCACACTGGATACTCCTGGTCCGTCTTTGCTCTATCATGGGAGAACGTCAACAACAACAACAACGTGAATATTTTTCTATATTTTTTTCTCTTTTTGGAATTGTTTTCGTACCGAAAGATTGGAGCGCCCAGCACGACCGCCACGGTGTGGATGACGGCCGCCCCCACCGCGAAGCCCACCGCTCCGCTAGACAAGCGCCGCCCCTGTAACAGCCATCGTTCGTGTCAACCGGTATTATCAAGTTGTTGTCTTCACGTCGCAAAAAGAGCCAATCAGGCTGAAGAGGTCATAGCTTTGGGTGGGGGTCCTAGCTTTGGAGGTCCTATGCATACGCTATAGAGGTCCTATGCACACTCACATTATAGCACAAACCTATCTCAAAGTGTGCCATAAAAAACGTCGTACATCAACAGCAGCCCCGCCGTTCAGCTTGATGGGGGCCAAATCGTGTCCGCGAAGTTAAAAAAGCACGGCTAGAGCAGAAAGAGTAGTACGAAAAACTCTCGTCTCCTACGACTCCGTCCGTCCCACCCTGTAGCTACTCAAGAGTTGATATTGTTCCACCCCGTACCTCCACTCGCATATCACTCAAGGAGACCCCTCCCCCCACACACGCACGCACGGCGGAACCCCCCCCGGGCTTGCCACCACGAAGATGGTGGCACAACCGCGAAAGAACGCTGTTTCACGGTTTCTCCAAGAGTAGCCGGGACGGTATTTCTCAATCTCGAAAGGAAACCGTGGTTGACGTGCGCGTGACACCTTGTGGGGGAAGCGACTTACGGGGCCCCTCCCCTGCCCCCTCCTCCATGCGTGAACGCCCCCCCCCCCCGAACACAGTTTGACCAGCACAAGGGAGAGAGTATTGCCGCAGCCTTTGGAAAGGGATGCTCGCGTCTGTAGTTGACTACAAGAGACACCATGATACAACAATACGAGGATGCAGGAACCACCGTGCAGAACGAAGATCCATCCTGTTCCAGGAAGGGTGCTGAAATAGCCGTCTAGTGGATGACAAACCCACAGAATGGTGATCTCCTTGACCCCCCCCCCCCGAGTGCGCCCCCCCCCCCTCCTGCCACCGTCTTTCAAGCACCTTTGGCAAAGTGGGAAGGGACGATTGGCCATCGGTGATCGGGCCGTTGGGAATAATGCTCCGTCGTCTTCTCGAGAACGCGTGGTCAATCGTCTAACCGCTAAGGCATGCAAAACATATGAGTATGCCCTCCCCCCCCCTTCCCAACCCATTGGTCAATGGTCTTTGACACTCACGATCCCATCGCCCAGTCCACGGTGCTGTTCGGCACTCGCTGCCTCCATCCTCCTCCTCCTCCTCCTCAGCAGCGCCATGGTGGACGCCGCCGTGGCCGTCACGACAGCGGTGGCTGCGGCCGCGCACAGCACCCGCGGGGCTGGGGAGGGAGGCTCTTCGTGGGGAAAGTCTCGGCGAGGCCTGTGCGTACGTGACGGGAAGACAGGGAGCAAAAAAAACACAACGTGCAAATTTACGTCCTCGGAGTCGAGCAGACGGTGGGCTGCTGTGGTGTTATCTGGAAGGCGTTCAGTCACTCATTCAGTGATTGTATGCATGTTTTTCTGAAGAAACGTTACGGATACTCGAAGGAGGGATGTTCCGTCAAGATTTTCGGGTGAATGCGAACCGAACACACACACACATGTGTGTGTGTGTGTGTGTTTTCGTCCTATTTGTTAAGGCGACAGTCCCCCCATTTTTCGTGGTAAGACGTGTACTGCGCTCTTCAGTTTATGTAGAGTACTACACTTCTCAGTGTATTCTTCCGTACTACTACAAACCATCCAGGGTCACACATGGAACGTGGTTATCGGAGCAGCGTACACCAGATGCCTTGCGGCTAGAAGTAAAGCTATGTTAGGCCTTGCTACATCGATACAGAGGTTGTAGCGCAAGGGCTTAGGCGTACAACGTTCCAAGCAACCCGCACCAAGAACACAATGTCGCGTCTCGCGTCGCCATGGTCACAAGGTCCAACATCGCACCAGCACCTATACACACCAGTTGTGATGACGGTGGAAAAAATCCCGCACTGCTGCTGTGTGGGCGCCCAGGTTGCAGCTGTGTAACGTGTCCAGGTGTGTGCGTGTGCGGTAAAGAGCGGTTCTGTCTTGTCCTATGCATACTGTAGTATGTACACCTCGATGTGTCCAAATTGGACAGCTTTGACTACCGGATCACAGGCGCTGAGTACGGAACAGAGTTGGGACATGTGCATTCCGTATCGCAGCAGCAGAAGGAAAAGTGCCGTACAATATACAGCAGTCCTTAGTATATACACTTCGAAGTACGGTGCGTCTACCACTGCTGTTGCTTCCGATGTCGCAGAGGAGTACTGGGGAGGCGGTGTTCGGATGTGTCGGAACGACGGTGCACGAGAAAAGATGGGTTTCGAAGGCAGAGATATCCAAGAGAAGCTTGTGCAGTGGCGCCGTCGGATTCAACGGTTTTTCACAGCAGCAGCAGCGTTGTTGGATCGCTCAGTCAACTATTTATGCGGCGCACGGGCGTAAACAAGAACTTCCGATCCCGCGCGCTTTTAGCTACAGCAAGTGCGTTGTTGATGCACGATGACAAAAATGACGGCTTGCTCTGCACTCACCGCCCCATCCATCCATTCCCCACACAAAACCTCTCTAACGTACGCTCTCTACCGAGGTCCTCCTGCTTGCTAAGCCAGACTCCCATGTGTACGGCGTCTGCTGTTGGGTACTGTGTAATCATTGACGTTTTTGACCCGGTGGCGACAGAAAGACATGGGCGAGAGACAGGGGTTGGATGCGAGACACTCACGCGGCCAGAAGCGGAAATATGGGCGAGAAGCTGACCCAAGCTAGAACCAACTCCAGTGCCAGGATTCCATGGTAGCCGAGGCAAGCAGGCATCGCCATACCGCTCACACGACACAGAGGGGTGTGGTGTGCGCAAACAAGAGGGCGCGAGATGCGGCGAGATTACAGTACGAACCACGAAAAAAAAAAAATGGGGCGCAGTGCTCTTGGCTTTTGTCGACGTTTTCGTCATCGTCCGCTTGTGTGTGTTCGCTGCACGCCTCCCTCGGGCATAACACGGGCTCACACCTGTACTGCTGAATGCTCGGAGTTGCCATCGGCTGTGGACGATGCAAAATGACGCTTCTCCCGAAAGAAAAATATCCTTTTCGGAAGAACAAGATCCTGTCGTTACAACCATATCCAAGAAACCAGTACAAGCACAGGTCGTCGATGAGGCGGCCGCGCTGGCGGCGACTGGAGAACACCGTCTCGAGGGCATTCGACAGTTAATCATGAGAGGAATGAGGCTGACCAGTTTTGAACCTTCGTGTGCAGCAAGGCTTCGAAGCCTTACGGTAAGTCAATATCAAGATGTGGGGACGTCGGGTGTAGCTGTGGTTTGACGGGCCATGGCTGCCTACAGTATCCAGTACAACCAACGGCTGTACAACATTACCTTTCCTTCTGGGTGGACCATTGCTCAAACAATCGGCAGCTCTGACATCGACACTCCTCTCTCCCGTTGATAGCTCGGTCAAACTTGTGTGCTTGTAGCATTCATCGGTGGATACGGTAAGTCTATTGTACAACTGTCGTCTACTTGTTTTTTCATGGAGGCACGACGAGAGCTCATCTGCCCCGACCTTTCTGATTTTCGGTAGTGTTAATTCACGCTCTATTGCACCAACTACGTACGCTAAGTACTGCTGTCGTTTCCCCTCTCCAAGCAACTTCCCCAATAAACTGAGCTTGTCGTGGTGGGTTCTGCTCGGGTGCACTTGCGATCCACACGTATAATAGGTGCTATCTCTGTCCAACAACTCCCTGCGGGACCTGGAGAGCTTCCGGCCGCTGGTCAACCTGGTGGAAGTAAACGTCAACTTCAACGCCATTACCTCGCTCCACGGCTTGGTTTGCCCTAACTTACGGAGGCTCTACCTCAGCAACAACCTTATCGCCAGCACCGAGAGGTTCACGGTCTCCTACCCGAAACTACGGACCCTTTGCCTGTTCAAGAACATGCTGCCGAACCTTGCGTCCGCCCTTGAGCCACTTCGGTAAGGGTTGCGCCTGGTTTCAATCTCATTGGACAGTTTTGGGTGTCATGATACAAAGAGACCTACATATCTAGAACACCAACCACGAAAATGATAGTAAATGCACGTCTAAACTCCCATGATAGACATCACTAGAGCGTACCTATAGAACAAACATGACCTCGTGTACACGGAAAGGATTTTCTGGGGGCTGTTGTGGAGGTCACGCCAAATACGCGCGCGACAAGCCTCTACTTTTTGCCAGACCTCTACGCATCAGTGCTGGCAATCGACACACACACGTCAACTAAGAAGGCTGCCAGCTGCAACAGGATGTGCGAACCGCCATAATACCCCGTCGACTGTTTCTCCACGCCGAGGGCAAGGTTGGACTCGCCCATGTCCCTCCTGCATAAAAGAACTGAGTCGAAGACATGAATATCATGTCGAATTGGGGTGGGGTCGGGGGTGCGTGGATGATGAGCAGGAGGAGCCTTGCAGACCTGAGGGAGCTCGACCTCGACGGAAACCCTTGCTCGCGTAGCCGAGGCTACAAGCACCGCGTCATCCGCTGCTGCCCTCGTCTGCGGGAGCTCGACGGGGAAGAGCTGGGCCAGCTCGATCGTGACTTGTCTGATCTCTTCTTTGAGGAGCAGGTGTGAGGTTCAACGGTGTTGGATCAGGGAAGAAGTAATATGTCCATCGATGTTTGGGTGTCACCATGCAGGAACACTTGATGAGTCGTAACACATCCGTGCGTCCTTGAGCGGGCGCCTGTGAAGGGTAGTAGGACGGCTTTCTGGGCAACGCCTGGTTGCATGCATCATGCATGCTCCTCCAAGCGAAGCATTGAACCTTTGCGATCAACCTCGTGCGTCACTCTGCCAAAAACGCGTACAGAGGAACAATGCGGTGTGGGACCGAATGGGAGGTGTAAACGACGACGGAGAAGGATCCAGCCGTCACTGCCGCCCCGCTACAGCCCCGGCGACAACTGTGTCGAGGAGATGGGCACGAAGCAAGGGAAATAACCCCAGCGGAGCAGCCAGGGAGAACCCGAAGCTGCTAGAAGAGGACGGCGAGGATTTGGGAGCAGCATTGCAAGGCTCCCTGAAGCTTGGGGAGCTGATGGATTTCGCTGGCTGCCTGCCTCCAGGAAAAACTCAGCTGCTCAGATCCGACAGGCTTAACAAGGACCCACAGGCACGGCCGTACCCTTTTTTTGTTGGAAAACATCCCACAGACCGTCGGCAAGCATATGCGGGCACACGAGTCTTTCTCCGCTGCGCACTTGATCGGAATTTCGTTCGATAACCATAGTTGTGATGGGGGTATTCGCGGGAGTGTGGTCGATGGGCGGAGGCTGTTGCGTGTATCATGCAGGAAAACGTTTTGGCTGGAAGTCGTACAGTGTTCAGCCCCACCCTTGCCCACCACCTGCTTCACCGCGATCCCAAATTTATTATGTTGCAGCGACATGCTAGTGCCGTCTTAACAAGACAACTTCTATATCCTGGAGTGGATGCCTGCAGAATCAAATCGACAAACGTGAATGCGACATGCTAGTGCCGTCTTAAAAGACAACTTCTATATCCTGGAGTGGATTCCTCCAGAAACGAATCGACAAATTTGAATGCAAAGGCCCCCACCTGATTGTTTTCCATGACCCTCTTCATGCACTTATTATTAGTGCCCTCTCTCTTTGAATCCGTGGTGGTCATGTCCACGGGTTCACGTGATGCTCGAAACAAACAACGCTGCCTTCATTGTTTTATCATGTTGGAACAAGTACTACCGGTTTTGCAAATACCCCGCCCTTGCACTCAACCTGTACAGTAGCCGAGCAACCGCACCCCACCCATCAACGCCCCCCCCCCACCCCTAACCCATTGGTGCCGGCCTGCCTAGTCGTCGAACCTCTGGCTGCGTACCCCGTTTGTGGTAGCGATACCAAGGTCCGTTACGCTCGTGGTAGCGATGGCAAGGTCTGCGCATATGGCGATACAGGGTACTCAACAAGTCTGCAATAATCTAAAAAAAGTCGACCGCATTCCGCCCCCTCCACCCCCCCTGCTGTTTGGAAACACCGAAACATCCCGGAAACACCTATTATCTAATCGAGAAGCTCCTCAGCTACTTGGCGCAGGGAGTGCTCGCTGACCCCTGTGGGTCGCCTCGGGACGCCGTCGAGTCCCTCCGGCGGAAGGCCCTCGCCCGCTCGACGGAGACACGACGGCGTGCGACCGCCGCAGCAGAACAGCCTCTCGGAGAAGCAGAAGAGGAAGGAATCAGGGAGGGGGGAAAGGTGCCAGAGGAGGAAAAGGGCTTCGAGGAAACGGGCGGAGAGGGCGAGGGCGAGGGCGAGGGAGAGGGAGAAAGGCAGGGAGAGGGAAAGGGGGCGAGACAGGGAGAGGGAGACGGAAACGGAGAGGGAGAAACGGCGGTGGGGGCAGTGCAGGGCGACAGTGGCAGAAATGGACCCACTATCAGGGCAAGAAGGTCTCCGCCGGACACGAGAAGAGTACACAGCAGCGAAGGACCAACCAAAGAAGAGGCGCTGCCCACAAGCCCAGCGCGGAATCTGCAGCCGCAAGACGAGCTGCCGCCGACCCTACCCTTGCCCCCTCCCCCTCTACCTCCTGCGAACGGCCTGGATCCTTCGGACCCTTACGCAACGATAAGGTGCTGCTTGCTTTGCGTTTTTGTGTGACGGTAAACGCATTCTTTGAGGGCTCTGTGAGAAAAAGCTGTGCACCCCCGTCCATGTTGTCTGTCGCTTCCTTTTCGTTCTCCGTATTCCTCCAAGTCATGCTTCGCAACAGCCTCCCGACCAACGAGGCTTGCGAGAAAAGCGGGGCGAGGTGTTTAGTGGAGCTAGAGTACGGACTGCCGTACACGAAAACCATAAGGTTCTGCGCAAAACGGACATCAGGTTTCGAGTCGAGTTCAAGCCGTGGGTAATCACTCGTTTCGGGCTACAATATGTAACGAACGTCGGTTCCGCACGGAGTCCTGCGGCACTGCTTTTCGATCTTAATCTTCGCGATCGCCGCGCCAAGTTATGATCATGCCAGAGGTTCTATCATAAGCAAGGAACACGTGCGAGATCCGCAATAAGGCAGACTTCTCGAGGCTACAGCAGCACGCTTCGTTCTCCCGCCCCTCGTCCCCGCTCACATGTGCACACGATGCCCTGTATACTGAAAGTCCTTGCCATTCCCCCCCGATAGAAAAAGACGGGAAACCCTCCTCCAAGATAGTCTGTGAAGCCAGAGGAAGTGGAAAGAAAAAACATCATGTTGTTAGTGGTGTACCAGAAACCAAAGTTATAGCGAAGACGCAAGCGCTTGTTCAGCACTCTTCAACGAGGAGAAGGGACGTTGGGCTGCCAGTACTTCCAAGGGCGTGAAACACGACTACTCCCCCCCCCCCCCACCCCCCGATGGTGCGTCGCCGCCGTGTCACCGCGGAGCAGAAAGCTTCTCAAGCTCGTGGAAATCCTTCAGCTCGAACTCGCTCGCGACGACAACAACACCGAAGACCGCCGGTACCAGGAGGGAGCCTTTCTTTGCGGAGACCTCCGAAAAAGAAGCGGCCGCTACGCCGACGGCGACACCACGACTACTACCACCGACCACGCGAAGGGCGAGAACGCCTTCTTCTCCGACAAACGGCCTGGAAACCCTCGCACCCGCGACAGCACGGTGATTTGCGACGGCGGCGGCGGCGGTGGTGGCGGTTTCCCGTACTTGGGCGCGACGGGCCGGGAAGAACTCAGGCGGTTACGCCTCGAGAACCGAAACATGCACCTGCTCCTCGTGGAAAACCGGGAGCTGAAGACGCAAATCCGAGAGGAGACCGCCAACGCCGAGCTTGTCCAGAGGGAATTGAGAGACAAGCTGGGTAGGGTTGAGGGGAAGCTGGACGAAGTTACCGGGGAGCTCGAGGCGGCAAGAGGGAGGCTGTTGCTGCTTCCGCCGGCGGTGGCGCCGGCGACGGTGACGGAAGAGGCGACAATTTCGAGGTAGGCCGTCAGAGATCGATCGGATGTTGGAGGTTTTGCTGTGTAGTACAGAGGGACGTTTGGTCCTTCGACATGCTATACGCACTAATAGTAACACGATGCCACTCCCCCCGCGTTTCGGCTGCATCGTGTCTTCTTGTGGGCTCGCGAGAGGTACACTGGCGGACAAAATCAAGGCCTCGAATCTTCGTTTGAATCACAAGCGAAACCCTCACAATTTCCATCCCATCCCATCCCTCGCCCTTCTCCGACGCGAACGCGTGCTGTTGTTGCTCTGTACCGCAACGCGCCGTCTCTTGGGCCCCTGCTGCAAAAGCCGGAGCAGAGGGGGCGATAGCAACACCATCATCCCGACTTCGGAGTTGTCTTCTTCTCCGACGATAGCGACAATGGACTCGGCCTTCGGCACCGACGTTTCAGTCGGCGATGATGGTGGTGGGGGTAGCGATGGTACTGGTAGGGGGGGGGGTGGATGCAGTTACAACAGTGGGGGTACCGGTAGGAGCAGGGTGACCCCGTTGGACTGGAGGAGGAGGCCCGAAAAGGCGGTATGCCCGACGATGCCGTCCAAGGACGACCTCGGTCAAAAACACGTCACTGCTACCAAGGGGATGGTGACGGCGACGAAGGGGATGGAGCAACGCGCGGCACAACAAGGTTCCCTCGAAGAACAGCGTCATGACTACTACAGCGATGACGCTACGAACAGTGATGACGGTGATGGCGGCGACAAAGAGTTGGAAGAGCTATTCCGAAGGAACGAAAGGACCATGCAACAGATTCGCTGCGACCTGAAACTGCTACAATCTGACAAAGAGATTGAGCTCGAGCATCACAACACCAACAACGCCAGCAGCAACGCCAGCAGCGATGACAGCGACAACAAAGGTGAACTACAAGTCCACGAGAAACAACAACCACTAAAGGCTGGGGGAGGAACGGCGGAGACCGGCGTTGGGGAGCAACTTCCATCTCGGAGAACGCCTACACAAGCGCTTTTACTTGGCGGAGACAACAGCCAACGTCGGGAAGGGATCATTCAAATCCCAGGGTCAATGCTACAACCTCCCCAAGGCGAAGTCTGGGAGAGAAACAGGAGGTACCCGTGTTCAGAGCCACCATCCGTTTCCGAGCTTTTGCTGCAGCTCCGGCACGACGATAACGTACGTTCTTCTTCTCCTGCGGTGCGGTGTAGCGAGGACGGCAATAGGAAGGAGGGGGATGTCGGCAACAACGCTACCAATAGCCCCCCCCATAGAGGACGGTCCACGCTGCTAGGAGCAAGCAGCACAAAGGGATCGGACGAGGGAGATTCAACGAGGGGGGGGGGGGGCGGGGGCGGGGGGACGGAGGGTGTTGGTGACGCCGATACGAAGGGCGGGTTAATCACTCTGGTTGCCTCGAATGCCAGGGCGTTGCTCATGTCATAACTCTTGTCTTTTGTCGTACACGCGATTTTTTTGTGATGGTCATAGACAGACGTGGTTGAATCTTTGTTGCCAACTGTGCGAACCGGAATAATACTTGTCGATGCAAATAAATGCCTTGTCGAGACGAAGCAGAACTTACACCTCACCGTGCTTGATTGAGTTGATTGCCCCCCTCGTGGACCGCCGTGCACTGGGTGATGAAGCAGCCGTACCCGGTATCTATGTCGTGCACCGTTCGTACCTGTTCGAAAGGGGGGCAAGGACGAGGCAGGGGACACAGGGCTACTCCTATGCCACAATTTTTTAGGGGTAGCAATGAAGAGTTGCTGCAGCCAGCCGAAGTGCACACTTTAACGCTTGAAACGTCCAACAACTTACTCGCCGTACACTTACACGGTATTCACAGCCTGGGGTATGGGGTGGGTGTGCAACCGACGTTGATTGCAACAATTAGTCTAGACACAACTAATGCAACGCCCATCAGCGTGCCTACAGTGTACTTGTTGTGTTGGACCCCAACGAGAAGAAGAGAGGAACCGGCGAAGGCCACGACGCTACGTTGTTTGTCTGTCTGCAATCAGCAAGAAAAAGTGGAGAGAGTACAAGACCGAATCCCCAAAACGTTTCCGGGTGTTTTCTCAAGGGAATGTGGCGGAAGTAAGCCAACAAACACGCCGATCGAGGACTCTTCGAACGTTTTAGGTGCAAGAAAAACGTTGTCGACTTGATTCTCTTCTCTCGTGACCTGATCCAAAGCACCTCCTCCACACAAGAAGAGCTTGGTGTGTCGGCGGAGTACGAGGTGCGATAGAGCGGCGTGTGTGTATGATAGGACCCGTCTTTGTGCCGGGTAGCAACCCTGTGCGCTTAGCATGGTGGGGACGATTGACGCACGGGAGGATGTAGTCGTTTGAAATAAATGTGCTGAAACAGAAACAAGAGCTACAGCAGTACTACTGTCGCTAGCTGTGGTTCTTTACGTTTTATACGGAACGGTTTTTAATGTAAAGACAACACCAACAATGCCTATCATTGTTTATGTGTGCAAACTTGATGGCCGTGACACGCCTTACATTGCGAGGCGACACCAACGGTCTCATCAAGAAGGCCTTCAGGGGGGACCCGCAACCGTCATAGTCCCCTCCCGTGCATCCTAAGGATTTGATCAGAAGTGGGTCGACAGCAGTGCCATATGTATGATGTGTATGATGCAAGGTCTCCACACCCATTGAGCAATCCCCCCATCCGTTTTACTTCGACGATGTTGCCAGATTGGGTCGAAAGGGAGGACACAGCCGTGAAACGACACAACAAAACCATTACTCCCGAACCAGGCAGCAGGTGGAAAACTATGTAACTTGGGGGTGGGGTTCAAGTTTCAGCAAAAGCTGCTTTGATCTTCCGCTTGCGAAAAAAACAGTGCGGCGCCGGGTCGATTTTGATCCGCACAAGACCGGACGACTTAAGACGGCAGCGACACCAAGACTCGAAACTTGGGCTGAAGAGCAGCCCTCTGCACCACGATCAGATCCACAGACCAGACAGGTCAACCATGGAACAACTAAAGAAGTAAAATGGTCCGTGGCATCCGTCACACCGTGAGCCACCCTGATTTCGAACGAGTGAGACCAACGGCTGGAACACCACCAAAGATTGGATTCGTTCAGGCATGTTCCTCAAGAAAAAAATTGGCGGCTGACAAGAGAACATCATCAAATGTCGTGTCAGGGGTCACCCCTCAGAGTGTCATTTGTGTGTTCTGTCCATATATATCCCCCAGCAAGGGTAGATGCCCCAATGCGACCGAATTCTCGACACGTCGCGACAGGCATTGCCCACCTTCCAGCGTACATGTACGCAGAGAAAAATCGTAGTGGGAAAACTATACAAACTCCGGGAGTAGTGAAAAGTGGCGCGTTCTCGTTCAGTCTTTGCATCGAGCCCTCAGCGGCACAAAAAAAAACAGGATAAAGCAAAGGTGGGTCGCAAAGAAATACTACGCCTTTGACCACCGAAGCAATGGTACCACTGAAACTACCACCATCATCTCCCTTCGAAAAGCAAACTTTATTCTACCTCTACTATCGAGGGGAAATGAGACGACCCCCCCGCTGTTTCTAAACACCACCTTTCTCTATCCCCGCCCGTCCCCCTCCCAAATTTGTTCAAATTATCGAAAACAAGCCAAGAGAAGAATGACAGCAGCGGAGCTGAAAACCTTTTGGTGCACCCGAGACAAAGGGTGAGCAGTCAGACAAAGACAGACAGACAGACGTCTCGTGGAGAGCATTAACACAGAGTCGTCTTTAAAACCACCGTCGTTCCGGTTCAAAACCCATTTCAACCTGGCACTGACATGCGGAAGGGCGGCGACGGAAGTGACCCGTTCCGTCAACGGGAAATCAATCCGTTAATACACCAACCGCATCCGAACTCAAAGCATGCAACCGCCTCTCGAAGGGGAGGGGGAGGGGGAGGGGGGGGGGGGCACAAACAAAAAGACCTCTCAGAAACAGCTATATACTCAAAAAAACTAGCTGTCGACAAATGCGACCCTCGCTCCTTGCCCTTCCACCCCTAGCGCGGTTGCTCCTTTGCGCTGCCAGCAGCCTTCCAACAAAGAAGGAAGATAACCACGGTGTGATGCAAAAATCGCCACGGAGTGATGAGAGAGCTTTCCTTCGACAAGTCAAAAAGCTTCTAAGTGCTGCCTTCTGCGATGACCGGGACAACACATGCGCGGAGGGAGGAAAAAAACACGGACGCCCCGAGAGAGGACAAAAAAAAATGGTGTGAGAATCGCAAGCAACGGGCGCTTTGATCTGACACGAAGTAACGCCATGCGTGCAACCTTTCGCCCCACGGCAGCAGGTACTCGGAGTTCCGCGATTCGACTGTACATGATGAGCACTTCAAAATCACGGACTAGATCCGGATCGCGCGGCTTTCACACGTAGGACCACCGTCAAATCTGCATCGCAGACAACGATCGAAGTACTGTACTCGCACCAAATAATCGCATGTGTCGTTCGTGATCCCGGGCGGAACAAACCCAACATAATGTACGCTGCACACTTACCCTTTGGATGGTACGCCAAGTGTCGCGGCGAAGAAAAACAGCGTCAATCATGTGACAGACTAGACACAAACCATCCCAGCATCCCCCGTTTGTGTGCCATCGGTTTGCGACTCTCCTACGGCCCTCCCACTCTACCGCCACACACCCCGAGTCGCAGCTCCATGTACACACCCAGGAATGACCACACACGTACCAAATACATAGTGGCACGAGAGGAAAGGGCAGGCTATTTTTGAAATCTTGAAAGCTCCTACAACAGAACGGTAGGGGTGGTGGAAGGTCGTCAATGCTATTGAGAGCGAAACACAATCCTGCATTCCAGTTTATATTTCCTCGACTCACGCATGCCCCCCCTTATCATTCCTCTTTCGTCCACGCTCACCTCGTCAGCGGAAGCTCCCATCCCCGTCTTGATCCCATTAGAGGGGGTTGAAGAAGTAGCCGGCCTTGGCCACGCTGTCGGGGGTCGAGAACGCCTCGCCGAGCTGGTGGAGGATTCCCTGGCCCTGGACGAGGGTCTGGAAGTACATTCCCGTGATGCCGATCATGGCGGTGCGGCCGTGCTTGATCTCCTGCAGAGTTGGGGGAGAGGGAGAGGATCGGGGTTGGTTCAGAACACCAGGGCCTCCCATGTGAGTTGGGCTTGCAGCACTGTGGCCATGTAACAAGAAGATACGAGTTCCTCGTTCAGACTATCCATAAATGATGCGGTCAGGCATTTCCATCGATATTTCACATTAGTGGATGACAGCGGGACTGCCCTTCAGCCAGATTAGGGGGGTTGGAAATTCAGCATAGATTTGGTCAAGTCTCATCCAGCGAGATTTCACGCTGCGCGTGATGCAGTCTTGCTAGTCGCCGAAAAAATATACAGCCACTCGTTACCGTTTGATAGAAACAGAGTTTGTTGGACAAATATGTTGGTTTCCTCGTGCACCTTGTGCCTCTGTACAAGCGTACACCTATTATAAAACAAAAATATACGCTGCACCACCAAATATTGATACTTTCGAGTTTGGCTAGGGCGCTACAACCCGTGGAGTTTCACGTACCGAACAAACACTGTAGTTTCCACATTGGCGGAAGACAAGGCAACGTCGTGTCGTGGCGCCTGTGGTAATATAGGGGCCCCGGCGGTTCTTTTCAAAAGGTACTTCGTGCGGTGAGGAGGCGTAAAACTATTCGTACGGCGACGGCAATGGCCTTCGTCGCGACATAGGGTAGTTGTGAGGGGAAAACGCTTCACATTTGCTTTATGTGCATGTATGGCTTCTGGTCGAAGCACTCTCAAGTAACGCCAAAAATAGTGCCGGTATAGTATTTTCGGTTCGCACTCGCTGAAATAACCAAAGTCGTTCTGTACTTTGAATAGTGCCCAGTGTCCGCAAGAGTACGGAAATTTCTCTGGACACGATCAGCACTACTGCACACCGAACACATAAAACGAGGGTGATCGGGAATGAAACAAGCGATGGCCATCAGGTGGTAAAAGATGGGGCGTTTACCAGCAAGAACCAAAGTGATGTGCACACAATTAACCGACCACACCATTACATGATCATCACTACGCGTCTGGCCTTGCGACTGGTTATTATCGGACGCAAGTCTGTTCTTCATGTACCAGGTACTGTTTGTTTTGTATGCATACTTTAATGGAGACCGTCGCAGGATCGTTCGTGTCTAGCGGCGCATGGACACAGCTGTCAACCCGCATCAAATTAGGGTGATTTCATTATGTACTGATGAGTCCGCCTTGGGGTGACGTGTAGTAGTGGAGAACGTCCTGCTTCAGCGCCATAGGTGCAAGTTAGCGCACATGCATACCATATTCAACTGCAACAATACAGCTCTCCACGTGCTGCTGTTGGTGTAATTATGGCTGAACCGACCAAGAATGCCACAGCAACCGTGGTACTTAAGAGAAGCAACGTCGTACCGAGGAGGGAAAAATGCAGAGGGCACAGCAATGTTTCGTTCGTGCTGGACCTTACTGATGTTCACGTTGGTTTTGCCCTCCTCTCTGTTTAGATGGGGGGTGACGCATTGCGCATGTTTACCCGCGGTTGTGCCAACGGTTTGCGAGCCTGTTCACGAGGATCAACACAAAGCAGTTCGAAACCGAGCAAGTCACAGGAGGAGCGAGAAAGCTCAAGGTAGTCACGCATGCGTCGCGCAAGACGCTCACACCACACCTCTATATTTTGTTGGGAACAGACGGTGTAAGTATGTGGAAACAAGAACACACGGAAAAAACAAAGGTGGCCCCCCCCAAAAAGCTCCTGCACAAAAAAAAGGTGAAATCGACAAGGAGAGAAGGAGTCCTGGCAGCAGCCGGCTTCACCACATGCATTGAGCAAGGCATACGTATGTAGAGAACAAGAATGATACGAACACGAAACTAGCCCATGTTTGTTGGTCTGACTCAGCATGTACGCATGTTTTGCGCTCCTTGGTTGCATGTATTATTCTCCATGGGCAATAAAAAACACACGTTCGAGAAAATTGCATGCAATGACGCAAACATGCACATGTATGTGTGGTGGCTCAAATCGATACCGTACATCCAAGGTAGTGCTTGAAAAGCCTTGCATGGACGTGAAAGTTGTCTCCGCTTCTATGCAGCACGAACAGAGCAGATCGACTGTGGGCTTCACTCAAGACAGCACTAGGTTTGATCGACAAGGTAACCCTACCACCGCCTGGAGCCACACACGAGAGAGGCTGAATCAGCATCAGCATGTTCATTCAATTCCCTACGAAAAACCGGCGTATGGAGGGAGCGCCTACCGCCGCTGCCGTCTTCTCATGATGCATACATACGTACAAAATGCAGGAAAATGCCCAAACCACACGCTCATGACGGGTCACACGAGTAGCCGGACACACACAAAGCAAAGCCTTCTCGTCATCGTCTTTACCTGCAGCTGCTTCTCCGCGTACTCCTCCTCGGTGTAGTTAAAGTTGAAGGGGTTCCAGCGTCCCTCTCCCTGGCCGAGCCCGATGTCTCCCGCCACCCCGCTGTCGCTCCTGATGCTCCTGTTGAGTCTGATGGTCTCGAGGATGAGGATAGTCACCACGATCTGGATGCCTCCCGCGTTGGGGATGTTGTCGTACGCGAGGAGGGGGTTCATCTCGGCGAACCGGTCCGGGCCGAGGACGGTGTTGCCAGGGAAGTGGTAGATCTCGGGGAAAATCCACCCCGCGGCGGCGAGCATGGCGACGCGTCCGTGGGCCAGCTCGGCCTCGCGGTACCACTTGACGCGGGCAGCGGTGCCCGTGCCCTCTCCCTGCACCCACGAGGGAGGGTTGTTCGCGAACCCGGCGGGGTCGAAGCCAACGTCGCCCACCATCTCGCCGTCGAGGCCCTCCGGGTAGGGGTCGATGGGGATCGAGATCGACCTCTCGGGCGTTGCTGCCATGGCGAGCTTTGAGGGTGCGCTGCGCACGCCGGCGAGGGGCAGGGACGCTCCCGGCACGAAGGCCGAGGCTGGCGCCAGGGCGCACAAGGAGGTGGCTGCTGCGACGAAGGACTTCATTGTGCTGTGGGTGAGATGGTTTGCTTTATGGAGTCCGGTGCAAACGCGTGGTAGAGTTGCGAGAGCGGGGCGGCTTGTGTGTTTGGTTCCAAGGAAACACGCACATGCTTGAGGTAAAGATATCTGCCTATATATTCAAGTGACAATATTCCGTTCAAAACTCAAGTAATTTGCAGCAGCCCCGGCAGAGCATAACGCCTGAGGTAGAACTCCTTCTTATTCCCATACGCGTCCCCCCCCCATTGCTAAACTAAAGAGAGCTCGTTAGCTTTAGAGCTCGTGTGCTGGTGTGCTGCCGCTGCCAACGCCGTGTTGCAAAGTTACAAAGCTGACAAGCTCATGCCTGTCACCGAGAGTAGTGGACTTTGACCGTGATGGACCGTTTTTCTCGCGATAATGGCTCAAGTCGAAGACGAAATGGACACAGCAGCGGTGCTGTTCGCAGCGCCATGATGGTGCTGATGCTGTTCACCCTGCTACTGCTACGACATACTTGCTCCGCTGCGGACGGCTTCTCGTCTTTCAGCTTTGGGGGCATGCCCAGTGGTTTCAATACCAGGGTGGACAATGAAGGCTACTATAAGGTGAGCGGGTCATGGTGTGCCCCGCACGGCTTCAACTTGGGTCTGTTGTGTTGGCGCACCACTCTCTCCGCACAACACGTGTGGTTCGGCCACACGAGCGGTGATGATGCAACCGCATCATGTTAATATACCACACACCATCGACCTGTTCCGCGGCAGAGTTGCGCGAACCATCAGGCCCAACAGTAGCTAGCAGCAGAGATTTATTGTTCCTTTGGCATGATGGCGTACCGTTCAATGCGGGTGCACCCACTTTCGGTGGCAGAAACAGCCTTATGTTGGTGCCATACAGCAGAGTCAACGCTTGTCGCTTGTCACCCGACGCGGACGTTCGTCAAGGACCTGCTGTATTTTCTTGTAGCTCAAGACAAGTTACCACTACACTCCACCGACTGCCGAGACCAGTTGATACATGCCTACGTCCATGAACTCCAGCAGAGAGACCATCGAGTATCGGCACATCTTGCCTAATTTACCATCTGTCAAGCAGCAGCTAACACGTGAAACAGCACGGCAAGGTGTGTGCACTGCCACGAGCTACGGTTGCGACGAATACATACATCCCCTAACCCACACCCACACAGCAGAGATACTTGGTGCAGCACACACAGCAACGTCTTGGTTAGTGGTGTTGAATATTCGTTGTTGATCGGTAAAAATCGTCAAAACCCCATTGAGGGTTCGCGGGCTACCTACTTGACTGGACCGCAAAGCTTGGTGCAGTAGTTTACATTCCCTACGGTACGACCGATCGCTTGCCGCCTATGGTTACGCCGCAGATTTTGGAGGTGGGGAAGACAGTGGACGCGGGCTCGATCACCAAGGCCTACCGCAAGCTGGCGAAGAAGAAGCACCCAGACAAGGGCGGGGACCCGGAGGAGTTCAAGGCCCTGGCGGAGGCGTACGAGGTGCGACGCATTGGGCGTTGTTTTCATGGTTTCGTGAGGTACACGTACATAACGCTACTGGTGTTGGAAGAGCTAGGTTGCTGGTAGACGCTGCGATCTGTTTCAGTTCGACCCAACGGTGACAGCGAGACACCAATGGACCGCACACGTTCCCGTGGCTCTGTGTAGGATGAAGAGGGGGGGAGGGAGGGAAGGGAGGTGGGGGTGGAGAGAGAGAGAGAGAGAGAGAGAGAGAGAGAGAGAGAAGAGAGATGGTAGAGAGAAGGTACTTGGTTCATCGAAAACTGGCCACGAGTAGCAGAGATCGCCCACCAACAACGAAATCGAACCTGTTCGGAATGTGAGGGGCTGCTGGCACCCGCCTCCTCGCCCAGCGCCATGCTTCTGTCGAATGCCTAACAGCATCAAAGACTCGGTTTGCTGCGGTGTCTCGAGCCGCATCACCCATCAAAATATATTGCGGTCACTTTCTCTCATAACATAACGTAACGATCAGGTGCTGAGCGATCCCGAGAAGCGGCGGCTCTACGACCAAGTCGGGAAGGAGGGGCTGCAGGCCGGGGGCGGGGGGGCGGGGATGGACCAGAGCAGGCAGCAGGCCGACTTGTTTCGGTCGTTCTTTGGGAGGTTTAGCCAACCCCAGGTAGGTGTGTTTTGCGATTCTGCGAATGTATCGTCCGGGGGTGGTGGTATCTAAGAACGCTGATTTTTCGGGGAGGGGGTGGGCGTGGTACATATTGGACGCCATTTACTCGTAGTTTGTTTTGCGATTCTTCTCATTTTTTGTAGCTTTCGTGAATAGTGTCGAATGCAGATTAGTTTCCATTTTTTGTTTTTGTTCGGGGCGGGGGGGGGGGGAGGGGGCTTCATCGCGGTGTCGCCTACGGAACTTGCGAGAATATCGAGTTTTGGCGTCTCTCGCTTGGGGTGCTTGTCCACCACATTCTTTCGCGAAGCGCATGTTCACTACGCCCTAGCCGTGCCTGCCGTGTTTGTGCACCGGAAGAACGATTTTCGGGGCTCCCGTACCACACGCCTTGCTCCCCACTCTCCTTCTGTAACCCTCCTTCTCCTTCTACTCCCCCCCCCCGGCCCATTTTTCTCCGCTGCCTCTTCTGTCTTGGATTCCCCCCTCACCTCATCGTCGGCGTTTTTTTTCGCTCTCCCTTAACGCCACCAACACCGCCACCAACAACTAAAACAAACACCGATGACGACAACAACGACGACGATACGCGCCAGCCTGTTCGGATGCGCGACGTTGTGTACGAGATGGAGGTTACCCTCGAAGAGCTTTGTAACGGCGGCGAGAAGAAAGTGAGGATCTGGAGCGAGGTGCCCTTGGAAGGGGGGCGCACGGAGAGGGTGGCCAGGGACATAGAGATTGGCCTCACGGCAGGGATGACTACGGTGAGCGAAAAGGCACCGTACTGCGGTTTTTGTTTAGGCTGCGGTAGACGGCACAACCCCGCGCAGGATAAACAAAGGAGACTTGTGTTTTCGAGGAGGCGAAGGGGCGGCACACTTTCCTTCGATGCAGGCGTCGAAAGTGCTGCGATGTTGTGTTTTGGCCAGTCTTTAGCGCTACACCACGCGTCTCGACTCAACGCGCCGTGTCTAAGCGGTAGGCGACGGTGTATCGACATCTTGGGCAGCGGTCCAACGATGTTTGAAGGGTGCGTCCTCGTCCTCCCAGGTGTCTGTGCGTGCGCCGTGTGTGGTGCTCACAAACTACGAGCAGTGCACCAAGACTCATAGATGAATGCGCGCCGCCCCTCGCTCGTGGACAAAGATGCTGCCGACTAAAAAGCGAATCTTCCCAAGGCCAAGGTTTTCCAGTAGGCGACGCAGCAGCAGTAGCCCATACACTCAACCGCCCGCCTCTTCCTCCTCTCCCGGTCGCGATCTCTTCTCTTTTGCCGTTTCCGCCAACGAACGCCTGCACAAAGGGTACTCGAATAGTCATGGAGGGGGGGGTGGACCCCATAGAGGAGGGAATCCAGCCCGGGGATCTTGTGTTCGTGCTGAGGGAGACTAGACATCGCACCTTCCGGAGACTGACGGGGGAATCGCCCCACCTCACTGCCGACATCACGGTGAGTTGTCTCTTACACCCAGCCTTTCCACACTTGTAGGGGTCCCATAGAAGTTGAGGGCACAGAAGTGGACGAAAGGGGTCTTAGTGCACTTAAGAGGGTCCAATAGAAGTTATGGCCACGGAAGTGAACGAAGGGGTCTCAGTGTTTGAGGGAGAAGACTGTTGAGGTTTGTGCTGCCTTGTTTTGAACAAAGCGGAAGCCGTAAAAGGGTTATACCTCCGGAGCATATGTCACTCGGGTACTTCCATGGGAATGGGGCGGAAAGAGGGCGGTCTTTGTGAGCAAACGGGGGGATCTTGTTTCCGTCTCCAGCTACATGTGCTGCAGGCGGGGAGGGGAGTGCGCGGCGATGAGAGTGTCAGCCATTTTTTTTATCCGTTGTCGTTGAGGCACAGGCAAGCTATTGCTTCCTCTTGTACTCTACAACGTTTGCTCAACCACCGAACACGGATCCCTTTCTCCCGTCGCATACCGTATATGACACAAGAAAACACACCCCGGTGATAACATTTTGGAGTTTGAAAATATTATCACTGGGTGTGGTATCCTGTGGGGGGTGTGTTATCTTGTGTACCCCGGGTGATAAAGTGCAGCTCGCAGGGGCCCCTAAGGGGGTGTGATAGCGCGTCCGAACACCCACAGCGTGTGTTTGGGGGTGTGATAAATGAGGGGGGGTGATAAAAGGGTGTGTGATAGCACGTCCGAACAGCCACAGCGTGTGCTTTGGGGTGTGATAAATAAGGGGGCGTGATAGCCATGCCTGCACGTACACGTGCAGTGTAAGGACCGACCTAAAGGGGCGTGGAAAAACAAAGGGGCTCAACCGAGGTGACGAAACTCCTGAGCACATGACCTCGGCGATAACTCAACCCTCTCATCGCCAAAAAAAGTTTGACAAAATACGGGCTTGAATCGAGTAAGAAAAAAATTAAAAATCGAAGGTACCTCGACCGATACGATGATTGGCGGTGGCCACAGACTGCGTGCGCCATCCTTCCTGCCCCCCTCACAAAAACGTTTGCTGCTGCTTGCCTTGCTGTGGGTACGACGAAAAGAGAGCTACGCAAAGACACCACGAACAAGAATCAACGACCACAAACCGCAAATTTACACTGAATACGAGACACACCAACGTTGCACTCCACGCGGCGAAGAAAACAGCCGACAGTTTCTTCACACCCGCTCAAAGACGACGGAAGGAACAGAAAGGCACGCCAGGAAAAACCCGAGGAAACATGAGAAGGACACCACAAGCCATTTTCTAAACACCAGCATCGCTGCCGATGCCTCACAGCTCCTCGCCCTCGTCGCCGCTCACGTCCACCACCACCACGCCCGTGTCGTCATCATCGTCGATGTCCAACACCTCCAGCAAGTTCTCGCCTCCGGACGAGTCAGCCTTGTCCGTAGCGTCCGATGGCGCGCCGATGGGCTCCCCCTTGGCGTTGGTGCCGAGCTCCTTGCTGACCCAGGCCTCGTCTTCCGACCCGTCGACGGGCAGCAGAAGGCCAGCCTTCCTCCAGCTCGAGCGGATTTCATCCGCGGTCAAGGCATCCCACGCCTTCTTGACCCACTGTGCGACCAAACCCCGCGAAGGGGGCTCCGGGTAGCCCCGGTCGTTGCGCGTGACGTCCTTGGAAGCCATGTGGTCGTCGTAGAGCCTGGACATGTTTTCCTTGAAGATCTTGTTGACCAGGCCATCGCACGGCTGGAGCTTTGGAGTCAGGCCTCCCGGGATGTGGAACAGCGTCGTGTTGGACTCCTCCATCGCCTTGGTAGACGCGTCCGTCTTGTGGACGGTGTAGTCGTCCCACGCCAGAAGCGTGTCAGGCTGACGGTAGCCGCCCAGGCGGCCCTGCCGCCCCGGGCGCCGGTTCCACACCTGCGGCACCCACACGTCGTCGAACACCCGCTGGGAGTGCCATCCCTTGGGGTCCACGGCGTAGGCCATACCTCGCGGGTACGCGTAGGCCTTCCTGTCCTTGTAGTTCTTGAACTCGCGCTCGATGCTGTTGGCGGCGGGGGACTTTCCCTTCGGAGTGGGCTGGCCCTTGAAGATGAGGAGGGGCGGCAGCTTGCTACCGTCGGCGAACACGGTCAGGACCGAAGTGATGCGCATCTTCTCCTTGCCGCCGGTTTTGACTGGCGGGATTTCGTAGAACAGCGAAATCCGACATCAACGTGGGGTGCGTGGAAACGACTTTTGTTGCAAGATTCGGAAAGTGGCAGCAATGGTTGCAAAAAAACATGACCAAAATCAGAGAAAACGAAAAGAAAGAAAAGTATATGTAGATAGTTCCTCACAAAAAAAAGAGGGTGGCCCAAAAGAAGCGCTCACAGAGGAAAGGACAGGATTGCTACATTTTACGCAGTACGAGCAAAAACTAGGGCAAAACTAATGCTCACGTTCACAGTGTCCTTCCCCGGGCTCTCGATCACGTAGGGGTTTCGTCCATGTTGCCGATCTGCGCCAAGGCGAACTTGAGACGCGGCGCCGGAGGAGCACCAGCGCCACTCCCACCCCCGCTGCCGCTCGCGCTGCCTCCCGCCCTTGCCGCAACCCCCAGGCACTCGACCCCGTCCGCAAGTTCGAGCGCGGAAGGCACGTCGTACTTCAGCCTCCTCCACTCCTTAATCGCCTGCATGGCGACCAAAGGCCAGCCAGAAGGAAGTTTCTGGCCTTGCCGGGTGACAGCTCGCACAGAGAAGCGGTAGACCCTGAGAAACCTTCTGCACCACTGGTTCTGCCTGTTCTTGTACTTGAGGGAGCCCTGGAGATCGGATGGCGCCGGCCTCTCCCCGAAGAAGTTCGGATTGAGTTCGACGGCCTTGTTCTTGATCATCTTCGATGAAACACGGGCGGAGATGCCGTCAGAACGCAGCTCGTTGATCCAGTCCACGACCTCACGCTCGGCCGCCGTGTGCATCCTGATCCGTCCGACGTTCAGCGACAAGCGGTTGTTGGCTTTCTTCTTGCGCTTCGCTCCTCCCTCGTACGTGTCCGCTTCCGCCAGCGCGGCTTCGTACTTGGCGACGTTCTTGACCCACGCCGCCAACGTCGCCTTGTCGGGAATCTTCAGGATCCTGGACGCGTAGGTTATCCCAACAGTCCCGTTCGGCCCTTGCGCCCCCTTGATCTTCCTCTGTGAGTACCTCACCGCATCCACCTTAAACTTCAGAGGGTAGCGCTTCCTTTGGCTCCACCACCAAGCTCGGGGATCGGGAAGTCCGGCGGCTCCAACTCCAGCTGCCCTTTCTTCCTCTTGCCCTTGTTCTGTGCCGGCGTACCAAAGAGAACGCCGCCGAACCCATCTCCCCACTCTGTCTCTCCGGGAAACATCATGTCGCCGGATGCAGCATCGTTGGCCACCGGCGCTCCTCCCGCTGCCGGCGTTGCTGCTGCCGGTGCTGGAGCTGGTGCCGATGCTGGAGCTGGCGCCGGTGCTGCTCCTGATGGAGGCGCTCCGGGTGTGCCGCCCACCCTACAGAAGACAAACGGAGACAAATATGTGCGGGAAGGCACGCACGGAAACGTGTGTCGTGTGGGCGGAAACCAAAGCTGTTTCTTCACAAAGAGTATGCTGATTCATTTTTGGTCGACAAGGGCACCGTGTCCATTTTTCCAAAAACGTTTGGCGGTTGAAAGTACACTTTAGGGTGAACAATAAATGTGCAAAGCAGCACCATTGAAAATTAATCAGGGTGGTATGGAGATGCCAGCTGCAAACAAAGCTGCAGCATTTCCACGACACACAACGGCATGCAGGAACAAGAATCATACACAAAAAACAACTTAAAATGTGTACAATACCGACGAATGGCCATTAAAATGCTACAAACGAAACAATTACGAAACGGGCACGCAACGACAGAATCATTTTCCGGGAGCATGTGGAAAAAAAAAAGCCACATGCACAAAAAAAAACTTACAAAATGTGTGCCGGGAACGTGTGGTTAAAAAAGGGACTGCACACAAAATAACTCTCAAAATGTGTATGGGAACGTGTGGCGCAAAAAAAAATGAAAAAATTTCACGAACCCTGGAGTGTGCGGGTGGTGCAAAAGCCAACCCACAATCGCACGTTTCGAGACCACACGCGGACTGATACTACGCCAAATCCACGAAGCACATGTACACTCACTTGGATCGTTCTTCCGTGCCGACGGAAGTGCTGGGCTCCTGGTCCACCATGTCCACCACCAGCTGAGATGCTTGGCTGGTGCGCGTTGACTCGTCTGCTGTGGTGCTCGTACGTGCTGCTGAGAGCAAGAGAGCAACTGGCTGCTGCTGAGGCGATGCGGAGGCTGTCATGTTGGCGCCTGTTGCTGCTCCAGCTCCTGCTGCTGTTAGATCAGCAGGAGCAGGAGTAGGAGCCTCTTGCGTAGAGGTGTGCGCGGGCCCAAAGAAGGAGGTGATCTGCTGTGGCGCCTGCGCTGCTGCAGTCGAAGCAGTTGTCGAAGGAGCGGAGGTACTTGCGGCTGCATTCTGCTCTGCCTGCACGTTCATGTTGTTGGGGGTCTCCATGCGGGGTGTTTCCCCGCACACAGATGCCGTGGCTGTGTGTGTGATTGCCCAGGGCAGATGCTGTCACGCCGGTGATAAAGAAGGAGGGGCCCCGTGACTATATGCGGCGTAACTAAAAATATCACCGGGGTGTGTTATCTTATGTACCCCCGGTGATAAATCGATGGTTTGTCAGAAGCGCCCAAAACTATCACCGGGGTGTCGTATTCTGTGGGACTGTGCTTTCTTATGTAGGTGTGTTATCTTGTGTCATATACGGTATCCTTGACAGTGTACCAGAATCATCAAGAGAGCCCCTGGTGTTGTTGGTGTTATTGTTAATCAGTCAGGAAAGGGGCCGCTGTGACAGGGATTCGTGGCAAACTGTAGCTCTATATAGACGGCCAACAAGAATGCTCGCCCCCTCACAGATACTTTCGCCCTTTACCCGGCGTGCTGCCGATCGACCTTTGCACCCTATAATGCTACTTACCGGTCTATCATTTTCTCCACCACAACCTCCCGCTGACGGCGTCGGCAACACACTGGTCTGGTGCCAGTCAACCCCGCTAGCTGACGCTTTACAGACGGCAAGACACCACTCCCGTACCCGAGGACACCCCCCTGCACCAGCCTTACCCCTGACCCATGGGGCTTCGATCGCGTGGGACAAGAAAAATCCCCAAATGCAGCAGCAGATGGGCTGACCCCGGTCCCCAACTTCACATGCGATTGTGCGTTCGATTCGTGTGCAGGTAACTCTCGCAGAAGCGTTGACTGGTTTCGTGCGGCCGATCAGCCTCGTTGATGGCCGGACGGTTTTTTTCAAGAGCAAGGAAGGGGAGGTCATCTCGCCCGGGGCCGTCCGGAAGTTGCCGGTGAGGGAGTGACGTAGTTTTTCGAGCCGGCGGTGAGGGGGAGGGGGGGGGGGGGG